AGACAGCTTCAAAGAAAAAGTTGAAAATGCAGGTAAACTTCAAGAAACTAAAAGCTGTCAAGAACAGGATGTCTCTGGAATTAAATGCTCGAGTGGGTTGGTTAAATCCAATAGCTCTTTTGGGGATAGCAAAAATGACGATCAATTGCTATGTAAGGTAAATTAATGTCATTGTTCTTATTTGGACGTTTTATGTTCTTGTTGCACAATAATTATTAACTGAAACATGGTTAATTGTTTTTAAACTTCATAAATTGGTTACAAGTTTGGTTATCAGGATTGTTATATAACTGTGCTATAAATACTAAGATTCTTAGTTTCTGTTGTACTTGTACAATTGCATTAGTATAGACTGTTGGACTTCATTAAAGATTTAACAGTAAAGTATCATCAAAAGTTAACTTTCTTTGTATTGACTCTTATATGCTTTTTGTAGATCTTGGACGCTCATAATTCATCTTCTTGCCTTTCTGGTTAGTATCACTTCTCCTAGAAATGGCTTTAATATTTCATCAAATATCTTATAAGATGTTTGATTAACTAGTAAACTTTGGAAAGTAAATGAAGTTACAGAATCTCATCTGCTCTCTGTATGGTTGGTAAGTCAACATGTAAATGACATGGATATTGAATACAAGTTAGAATATTAAAATGCTTCCTCTTTTGTTTCATGTTTGGCAGAGCCTCCAGACATCAAAAATTGGTTCTCAAGTTATACTTATGAAACTCCTTACTTGCATATGACGGATGAATTTGGAGACTCTCCTTTTGAAGATAAAGAATCTGAGGAACATATCTTTGCTGTTGGAGATAGCAACAAAGAGGAAGAAGAGAATTGTGGGATGATGAGAAAAGTTGAAGGTAGGGACAGACTAATTGTTGATGAGAAGCTAAGCTCAAGTCATTTTGAAAAGTGTATCACATCTCTAGGAAAAGATGACCAAGAAAATGAATCCTTAAGAAAGGTAATCCCTTTATCTGTTTACGTTTACTTGTTGATATGTTGATCCATTTGGGATATGGGATCATTCATAAGGAGCAGAAATATTCTTTTCTATTTATTTTTCAATCTTGTCTTGCAGAGCATTCATGAGGCTGGAGACAAGGAAAATGCATGTGATCATAATAATTTGTGTTTTGAGAAGATTTTGGGGCAAAGCTTGGAAGCTAAACCATCACAAGCCAGTGACATCAGTTCCCACAAATATGCTGAAAAGTCTAATGACGAAGGTTGTGTGTTGACAGTGCAGCAAGGTTCTTCAATAATACCAGTTCACAGAAGCAATGACAAAGAAAATGAAGGGGGAGCAGTTACAGTAGATGGTTTTGTCACAACAAGGAAGAGTAGGTTGGCAAGGATAAATCAAGAAAATTCCCGGAAAAGGCCACCAGAGATTCTGGTAGAGTGTTCAAGAAAAGGTGGGAGCATTACTAGTGTTGGAAAGGATCCTGTTGAGAAAAGAAGAGTCTTGGCAGAAACAACCAATATTCAACATTGTGAGGTAATGGAGGTCACCGGAAAATGGCGCTGTCCTCAGAGGAACAAGCCTCATCAAGGTCCACCTTTGAAGCAGCTTCGACTGGAGCAATGGGTTCGTAGAGTGTAAAGGGCTGCTTTTATAATAAACATTGCAATTTCATGTAGTTTGAGGGCTTAAAGTAAACAAAAAAAAAGTTTGAGGGCCTAAACCCTAAAAAAAAAAAAGAAAAGAAAAAGGAAAAAAAGGGGACTAAGAGACGCACATTACACTGGTAGAAATATAATTAATGGCAAAACCATTAAATCCTGCTTCTCAAAATAGGAAAGTAGTGATAAATTTGTTCTAAAAAAAATTATAGGGATAAATGATTTTTTTAAACTATTGATTCAAATAAATTATTTATTATTTAACGAATGAATGTTATTATATGTTAATTTTTTATTAAAAATAAACTCACTTTGCATTATATTTTAATAGAAACATGTCCAGTAATTAACACCATCACATAATGTATACATCTATGAAAGAACCATATATCATCACTAATGAATCTTCAATCAAAGCAAGATGTGATGGCATCTGAAGTTGCGTCGCTGGAGTGGATTGCATAATCCTCTGCTCCATCTGTGAATAAGGAGATGCATTTGTGAGAACCAGACTCCCAAGTCTCAAAGTGGGAGAAAAAGAATGTGGGGACTTCCTCCTCAGCCGTTCATGGGACGGCTTCCTCTGCGACCTTTCTTTGGACCGCAGCCCATCTCATTCATGGGTCCTCCTCCTCATCCTCCACTGTTCTTTGAAGGCGATCGCTTTTCTGCTGACCAATTGCACAGTTTTAACCACAGCCATGGTGCCGGTGCTAATAACATTATTGGCAAGGGTGCCGGAGGTATCAGTGCCAAAATCATTACACAGTTATCAATTACATTTCTTTTATAATTAACCAATTATAATAGCATCTTACTTTTATGTTAAGAAATTTTATTTCTTAAACTAAGTCATTTTCACACATTCTTTTTTTATTAAACCTCTAATTTGGTCCATAAACTATTGTATAAACTTTTAATTTGGTTCTTAAATTAAAAAATTTTTGATTTGATCCTTATTATTTATCAATTTGATTCCAAATTGATTTTTTTATTAAAAATAACTGACGTGTCTATTATTTAATGACAAAAAATAGTTACTTAATGATTATGTGTTACATTAATAATGAGACATGTCATCTATTTTTGTATAGAATGACCAATTTAGGGTTAAATTGATAAATGGTAAGGACCAAATTAGATATTTTTTTTAGCTTAGAGACCAAATTAAAATTTATACAATAATTGAGGGACCAAATTAAAAGTTTAACCTTTTTCATTTATTTATTTATTTTTGTTTTAAAGAAAATCTAAACCGAATAGGTCCTCGATAGAGGTAAGGTACGGAGCCAATGGAGGGCCCCACCTTGGGAAGAGAAGAGTTAGCATTTTCC